TGTTGTCGTTGTTATTGCCGTGCTGTGCTCACCACAAGGGTAGCCACCATTTGTCACCGTAGAGCGCCATTACAGCACAATTGACCATATGCTCTATGCCACCCCCTTCATCCCCATGACGTAGTCATTCCACAGCTGGAGGCCTGTATCTCCCACTCCCCTCCACCTTAATTTTAAAATTAGTAACATGAAAAATTGAGGCAATTTACCTGGAGATCCTCATTTCTCACTCTTCCTTAAAAATGTTTTCCAGATACCTGACTACATTGGGACCACATGCCTACAGGGCAACAATGTCTGGTGCTGAGGGACATTTGTCCTGTTCTAAACGGGGCCCACACTCTACACTTCATCCTTGGCCTGGCCTGCCTACCTCAGTCATTTATTTGATCTGCCTGATATCTAGAAACATCTAAGCTTTCAAACGCTGGCCTAAGCCATGAAGCTTTGCCCCGTTCCATATTGGTCAAAGAAGCAAATCAGCAAGTCAGGCAAAGTCATAGTGCCTGATCTCCCTTGCCCACTCCCATCCCCCCCAAACCAATAGTTGGACCCTGTGCGGCTTTTGAACGTTTTCTAAAGCTCTTAGTAAAGAACCACTGAACGTCCACCAGGGTCTAGTGTATCTGTCGATAGGAGGAAGATCGTCACAGATGGACGCAGAACAGAGAGAAGGCAACTTTGTTCCAGAGTCTCAAGGCAGACATCTCATTCTAAACTTCACAGTGATGAGGGGCACCTGGGTGGCTCTGTCAGTTAAGCATCCAACTTCGACTCAGGTCCTGAACTCATAGCTCACGGGTTCGAGCCCCGCATCGGGCTCTGGGCTGACGGCTCAGAGCCTGGAGCCTGCTTCGGATTCTGTGTCTCCCTCTCTCTCTGCCTCTCCCCTGCTCACACTCTGTCTCTCTCTCCTTCAAAATAAATAAATATTTCAAAAAATTTTAAATTTCACAGTGATGAGAATGAGCTGAGAAGTGACTTCTCAACTAGAGAGAGAGAGAGAGGAACTCTGAACCCCTGATTTCCCTCTTCCCAGAGATTACCTAAAGGCACTCCCTGTGGGGAAGAAGGAAGGGGACACTGTTACTGACCTCTGACCACCAGACCATAGCATAAGTGACTATGCCCAAAGCTTTCACTTCCTCCTACTTGGTCCAACACTCTTCTGAAGTTTCCCTCTTAAAAGCACCAATGTCCAGGTACATCCTGGTGCCCCCTGTGGCATTTGACATTACAGAGTCCCCTCCACCCCTAAAGTTTCTCTCTTTGGCTCTCAGTATATCTTGCCATGCTAGCCCTCTCCTCTGTCTTTCTGGCTCCTTCTCACCTCTCCTTGGCTTGGCTTCCCTTACAATTCTTGTCTCATAAATAAATTTGTTTCCCCAGATCCTACTGACTGGATACTTCCTGGATGTCCAATAATCACCTTAAATTCTGCCTCTCTCCCTCCCTTTGTTTCCATAGACTATATATCATAAATACTCCTGGTAACTCCAAGAAAGGAGAAAATCCCTATGAAAGCCCCTCTCAGGATCTAATAACAATCCCAATCATAGGATGAGTTCATGGCCATCTAAAACAGAGGGGAAGGTACCTTAAATGTTGCAGTTCTCACAACAGAGATTGTTGAGAGAAGAAGCGTGCAGGAAAGGAGTCTGCTTCTGACAGAGGGCAGAATATGCTAGTTTGAAAAGGTGTAGTCAGTATTACATTCAGGGTTTACATTCCGAAAACAAAACGCACCTCTTCAACAGCTAATCCGATAGATGATCATATTTACTAAGCAGTTGTTACCTAGTTATTTATTCATTCAGTAAACTTCCCTCTTCCCTGTGGGCCAGGTACTAGGTGCTAACCTTTAACAAGACGGGGCCTCAGTCCTCGGGAATCGCAGGGATAACAGGCGCTAAACAAATGTATAGTAGATTCAGGTAGATAAACACAAATACACGATTACCTCCGCGGTAAGTGCTATAAACGAGTCCTTCAGAGGTACTGGCGGTATCGTTGAGCCCACCAGGCTCTACCACCTCAGGGCCTTTACACCTGCTACTCTCTCCATGCACGTCTTTATCCCCAGGTCCTGGCGTGGCCAGCCCTTTCTCACTATTCATTACAAGGAGGCTTTCTCTGATTTTCCTACCTGTGCTATAGAAAGGGAACTTCTAACCAACTAGATGTTCTACACTTCCATGAAGCTGGGAAGTGCCTTTCTGTTTTTCTTCACCAACTTTTCGTTGCACAGATATAGGTTTGAAGGAGGCAAAGAGTCAGACTCAATCAGGGTTGACAAATCAGATTTAGAACTCAGAGTTCAGAAATAGAATTCACGGAATTGGTGACTTGCCTATATATGGGAGACGAGGAAGAGAAACATGACCGTGATGAGTCAAATACATCAGTGATTGATTGAAATTCAAAAACAAAGAGAAGGAAGTTTGGAGAAGATGATTAATTTAGTCTTGGATGAATTTAAGCTGTCCGAAGGACATCCGAAGTCTCTTCAGTGAACAGTCAGAAATCAAGGACTAGAACAAGAGAGCACAGTCAGGGCTGGAGCTACAGATCCAGAAGCCTTTGGGTGGTGGCCAAAGCCATGGGATTGGGGGGGTGGGGGGCCACCCAGGAAATGTATGTACAAAGAGAACAGAGGAGGACACATTGGGAGCCCTGGGTAACTGAGACGGAAAATCCAAGAGATGACAGCAGAAGGAATTGACAGAGAGAGACAGGAGAACCAAGAGATCTCAGAGTCACAACAGTTCAAGATAAAAGAAGTTCAAAAAAGTGGAAGCGATGACAAATTCTGCAGAAAACTTAAGATAAAAGTTGGGTAAACAGGAGATCATGCATGACCGGACAATGAGTAATTTTAGCTTCGAATCTAATGTTGTAAGACTGGAACGCTGTCATCCTTCCTATTAGAGTCACCTGCTATCCTCGGGTCACTGCCCCCCAACTTCTTGAAGAGTTCAGCTCCTGGCTGACTTGTACGCTCTCCGACCCTACTCCCCTTGAACTTACATCCATGTACATGGTCCTTCCATTAGCCTCACTCTTCAGGTCTCTGACCTCTTCACCTCCAATGAGCTTGTCTTCCACTCCTTTCAGTCCATTAGCCTTTCGGTTCCTCCATCTTGGTTTTCTCCTCTGTCTTCCTGGCTCCCTTTTACCGCTCTTTGGCTTGGTTCCTCTTGTGTGCGATTCCTGCCCCTCAGGCTGATTTGTTTCTCTAGACATAGCTGATTAGACATCTCCTATAGTCATGCTCTAATGCCAAAATCTACAATCTTTCCGTAATCTTAGTTTTAAGCATCCCACTCTCTCTAATCGCCATCTTCTATCTTTCCATTTCACTCCTTCTTTTACCCCAACTCCAACAATCCCTTCACCTCCGTGCCCCAACCAATAGTCCATTGATCCAACTACCTCTCGCTATCTCTCCTGACCCTTGTGGCAACACTCGTCTCCTTACCCAGTTTAATGTCCATAGTAAGTCATTACCACCACTCCCTCTGATACGCCCTCACCTCCCTTGTTCCATTTTGAATTGTACTGCCTGGCCAAAAGCCAATTTAAAAAATCAATACTGCTTAATTCCAACTGGGGCTCATTTGTACCTGAATTGGCACCACTAGCTGGAAAAAAGCATGCAACCATGCTATGACTAGTCTCACTTAAATGTATGATCCTTAACTCCAATGCTGCCGGGCAATTATAACTTTATTTCTCTCGTTCATTCTCTTACTCTCCTGCACGATCAGGAGGTGAGAGCAGACAAGCTGTAGAGGGCATTGCCTTTCAATACTTCTTCCACTGTCCTCACTCTCAGTTTCCTCACTGAAAAGACAGATGCCATCTGAAAAGTATTTCCTCATGCTTCCATTGTAACATCTATCCACCCCCTTTCCTTTGTGTCCTGCTCTGTCTTCTCTTCCTCTCTGCATCTTTCTCCATTCTCCCGTTACTCTGGACGAATTGAACTGTGTCAAGTAAGGGACAGCTTCTCTACTTATGCACTAGAACCTAGCTCCTGTCACCTTCTCGAGGACATTGCCCCGGTAATTCTTCCCGTTTACACTTGACCTCAGCCAAAAGGCCAAGAAGCAATGCAGTTCTTCCCTTTTTTTTTTTTTAATTTTTTTTCAACGTTTATTTTTATTTTGGGGACAGAGAGAGACAGAGCATGAACGGGGGAGGGGCAGAGAGAGAGGGAGACACAGAATCGGAAACAGGCCCCAGGCTCTGAGCCATCAGCCCAGAGCCTGACGCGGGGCTCGAACTCACGGACCGCGAGATCGTGACCTGGCTGAAGTCGGACGCTTAACCGACTGCGCCACCCAGGCGCCCCGCAGTTCTTCCCTTTTAAATCTGCTCTCACAAATTCCCTCTCTGCTAGATCATCGCCCATCAGATTACAAACATGTTATTTCTCCCGACTAATAAAGAAAACAAAACTCTTCTGATCCTACTTCTCTCCCTAGCTACTGTTCTATTTCTCTCTTCATTTACAGCAAAATTCATACTTTTCTCCTCCCACTCTCTTGACCCATTGAAATAGTCCGTCCTCAAAGTACATGACCTATCAGCATCATTCGATTTGGTCCATCCCTCTCTCCTTCTTGACATAGTTCTGAAGTCATCTCCCGGGACACCACACTCTCCTGATTTTCTTCCCACTTCCTTCCCGCCCTCCCAGCTCCCTCACCGGTTCATGCTCATCTTCCCGGGCCCATTAACATTAAATTACTCCAAGGCTCAGCTCTTAGAACACTTCTCTTTTCTATTTCATCTCATTCCAATGATGATCTCATCCACCCTCCTAAATTTACATCCACCGCAGGATGTTGACTCCCAAATGCCTATCTCCAGTCCCCTCGACAGCTAAACTCCATCCTTTACCCAGTTCCCTCAAGACTTCATCTACAACTGAATGTCTTCTAATCACCATCTTATATTTCATTGGTACAAACCCTATCTCTCTTTCTTTGTTTTTTTTTTTGTTTTTTTTTTGTTTTTTTTTTTTTTTTGGCAGCTTTATACCTTTGGTTGACAGTCAGCAATTAGTTCTCGTCCACATTAACAGTCTGTAGATTTTGAAAGTGGTGACAGGTACATAGATAACCAAGGTATAGAGTTTATTTGATGAATCTCCATCCTCATTACATTTTCTGAACAATCACACATGGATATGGTATGGAACATTCCTTATTCCTTTGGCCCAGACAGCTTTTTTTTTTTATTTTTTTGATGTTTATTTATTTTGGAGAGAGAGAGAGAGAGAGACAGAGCGTGAAAAGGCAGAGAAAGAAGGAGACACAGAATCTGAAACAGGCTCCAGGCTCTGAGCCATCAGCACGGAGCCTGATGTGGGGCTCGAACCCACGAACCATGAGATCGTGACCTGAGCCGAAGTCAGATGCTCAGCCCACTGGGCCACCCAGGCACCCCAAGGGTCCAGACAGCTTTGTTGAGCCTGGGGTCGAGGAGCACATTTGGAGTTCCCATCTCCTTCATAGCAAATTTCCAGATCTCTTCGAGTGCCCGAGGGGCACGCTTCTTGAAACCCACTCCATGGATGCGCTTGTGAATGCTGATGGTGCGTTCTCGGGTCACTACCTCGTGGATGGCAGAACGGCCCTTCTTCTCCTCACCACCCTTCTTTGCGGGAGCCAGGCCAGGAGAGAAGTGCGCCAAACCCTCTCTCTTAATCTCTCCCCCCAACCTACTTTTCCCACGGTACTCCCCAGCTCGGTAAACTGCAGCTCCGTCCTTCGGTTCCTCAGGACAAAAATCTCTGCGTCCTTATTTCTCAGACCCCACATCCCACCACTTATCGTGGGTTATCGGTTCTTCCTTCAAAATAGATCCATAACAGGTACTTCACTGCTACCTCCTTGATCTAGGTCACCATCATCTATCATCTGAATGATTGCAACAGCTTCCTAACTAGGCAGGCCCTGCTTCCTTTCTTGCTCTTTTCAATCTATTCTCGACACAGGGGGATCCTTTTTATCCTATTTTTGAACCCATTTCATTTGTTTTTGACAGAGACAGAGACAGAATCTGAAGCAGGTTCCAGGCGCTGAGCTGTCAGCACAGAGCCTGACACGGGGATCAAACCGACAAACCCTGAGATCGTGACCTGAACCGAAGTTGGAGGCTTAACTGACTGAGCCACCCAGGGGCCCCCAGAGTGATCCTTTTAAAATTTCAGACAGAACGTATCACTCCTCTGCTCAAACCCCTCCAACAGTTTTTCAGTTTACTCACAGAAGTTGGGGCCATTAAGATGGTCTAAAAGGCTTGACGTGACTTGACCCTCCTCCTCTCCATTACTTCTCTGACCTCAACTCCTGCTCATCTTTCTCCTCACTCTCAGCTCCAGCCACACTGGCGTTCCGGCCATTCTGAAAACATACCAAACACTCCTACGTGGGGCCTTTACACTTGGCTATTTCCACTTCCTAGAATGAGTGTGGTGAGTAAGAAATCATCAGGGACCTTAGCAGGGGCAGTTTCCTTGACATGATGGGTTGAAACGAGTGAGAAGGTAGTTAAGAAATGTTTGGAAAATGTGGAAATAGAGACTGAGATTGGTGGCTACTATTTCAAGAAGCTCGACTCAGTAGAGAAAGAGAGAAATCAGACGGAGCTAGGGGGTAGATGCAGGGACATGAGAAGGAAGATTTTTGTTCTTCTGGGATTTCTGTGTTGATAGGTGGGGGGTGGGGAGCTTGAATTTGTTTATAGGCTAAAAGGAGGCAGTAGAGGGAGAAGCGAAAGATCCGGTAGAGGATCATCGATCCGGCACAGTCCTGCGAAGAAGATTCGATAGCATCCAACAAATACTACTAAATGATGCTATGTTAAGATATGATGACGCATGAAATCAACATCAAGCGGCACAAATGGATGTGAGCAAGGTTAAAACCACAACTGTAGATTCTGGTTTTAAAGCTGAAAGGAACAAAGAAAGGAGGAAAGGATTGCTTATAGGAAGTTGAGAAACTTCATTATTTTTACAGCCTCTCTTTTCTCAGCATGCAAGAGACTGCAGTCTGTTGTCAGTGAGGGGAAGGTGAGAACGGGGCCTAAAGAAGGTATTTCAGGTCAAAGATCCACGATAATAATTAAAGGGAATAGGAGAGGAAGCTAATGAAACCAGAAGGAAAAGAAAGATCAAGCAGCTCCGAATGCCTACCGGAAACTGACCGCCATTAACTTGTAGAGGATCCGTTCTCTCTAGCCGTGTCATTTTTATCCACTAACCCTCAGCACTCGAGTACAGAATGGCTTGTAGAACCAGCAGGTGGTTGGTGGCTTCAGGGGCAGGGAAAGAGGTCAGGTGTAGTGCTAAGATCCCGGAAACAGCCAGCTGAGTTGTGTATTTCCAACCCATCTGCCTCTAATAGAGAGACAATAAATGCCAAACACTTAATGCCCCAGCTCCCCTACAGCGAGGGGAAGCCATGCGTCGATGAGACATGGCAGAAGTCTACACACGATGCCCTTCTGTTTTCCTTTCTAGTGTCACCAGCACAGTCATGAGGCCTAGAGAGGCAGCAGCCATTTGGTGACCTTGAGGCCACAAGAAGGTGTATAAATCCAGCATAGTAAGGATGTCAGGGCAGAGAGGGGGAAGGAACATGGGTTCCCGATGGCGTTCAGGGCTGCTGTTATCAGCTCTGTTGCCTATGCGGAACAAATTAACCCTTATTTATGTAGGACATGGGTGGTATGTTTTCTGGTCGTTTGCAACCCAATGGGTTCATAACTGAAGGTTAGGTAAGTACCAGGCTAGGTAAGTGTGTTAGTCACGATGCTTTTGGTTGTAAAAAACATTAGGTAAATGTGGAAGCTTCTTTCGTATCCCAGGTGTGGGATACAAAACAGACCAAGCTGCAATTCAGTATTGACCGGAGAGAGCCGCTACGTCAATGATGTCTGTCTCAAGATGGCTCCAAATGATTTCCGTACTGCAAAATGAAGCCAAACTCGGGATGGGGGTGGGGGTAGGGAGAGATATTATAAAATAATATAAGGGGAAAGAAGTGGGAGAGGATTTAATGAGTCATATGGCTGCAACAGCCAAGAGATAGAATTGGCTTCAGGTCCAGGAGCATCCATAGCTCAAATAATATCATGAGAAAAATTATCTCCCTTCATCTCTCAGCTCTGCTTGCCTCTGTTTGACTCGATTCATTCCCAAATCTCTCCAAGTATGCACGACAACTTCCAGCAGCTCTGTTTTTACACATTCCTTAGAGCTCATGACCCCATAAGCTGACCCCGACCCTTTCTCTGACAGTGTCCGTATCAATCCCCAACAAGCATTGCTTGGACAGCCTGGGTCAGGGGCCCACGTCTATATGGTGGAGGTGGTTAGGCTACATGACTACCAGTACCATGTGGAATGGAAGAAGGGTTCCCAAAAGATACAGGTGTTCAGCACACTAAGAAGCAATGGGTCAACTATGGCAGAAAAACAAAGTGAGGCCAGGAAGGAGACGAATAAACTGGGGGAAAAAATGAGTGGGTTATTGGACTAGAGCGATTGACAAGGCTTCTAATTTGTATGGAGAAATGACACAGGAGTTGGAACGATAAAAACTTGCGGTCACACAGTAAGATACAGACGTTCAGTATTTCAGACAGGTAGAACAGTCCTAGATGATAATTGGCAAGGTGTGCGTAGTAGAAAGTAGTAGAAGATGGTGATAGAAATAAAGATCTGAGTCGGAAAAAAAAAAAAAGATCTGAGTCGATGACATTAAGGTGCTAGATCAAGAATCAAGATTATCAAGGATAGATTTATATCTTAAGGCCTTAAACTAGTAAAATATTTACGGTACCTGTGTTCATTACATATTCTTATGTAACAGATTCCCCCTGGGCTCAACCCCGTTGTAGCTTATGACAGAATTTCCTACCTTGTTAAGGCTGCGTATCCACTGAGTTTTTAATTTCGGTGATCGTATGCCTCATGTCTGGAAATTAAATTTTATGAAATCTTGCCTTTTGTTTTACTTTATGTTTTTAATGATTGACTTATAAATATTTTACGATCTGTTATAGGATGTCAACCTATTATTTTAAGTGCTTGAGGGTTCAAATTTTCCCGTTTTAAGTATGCTGAATTTTACTCGTAATGAATTGCTCCCTTGTGTGCTTTGAATTTCCCATCAAAGGAAACATGGGAAGTTGTTTGTCAATGAGTATAGTTTCAATTTTGCAAGGTGAAATAGGTCTAGAGATCTGTTATACAATGTGAATATAGTGAACACTACTGAGTGTATACTTTAAAAGGGTTAAGAGGGTACATTTTATATTATGTATTTTTATTACAATTTAAAATTTTATTTAAAAAAAAACTAGCCATAGAGCGCCTGGGTGGCTCAGTTGGTTAAGCATCTGACTTTGGCTCAGGTCATGATCTCACGTTTCGTGAGTTCGAGCCACGCATCAGGCTCTGTGCTGACAGCTCGGAGCCTGGAGCCTGCTTTGGATTCTGTGTCTCCCTCTCTCTCTGCTCCTCCCCCGCTCATGCTCTGTCTCTCTCTCTCAAAAATGAATAAACTTAAAAAAATTAAAAAAAAAAAAACCTCAGGTGCTCCTGGGTGGCTCAGTTGGTTGAGAGTCTGACTTTTTTTTTTTTTAATTTCTTTTAGACGTTTATTCATTTTTTGAGAGACAGAGAGAGACAGAGCATGAGTGGGGAGGGGCAGAGAGAGAGGGAGACACAGAATCCGAAGCAGGCTCCAGGCTCTGAGCTGTCAGCACAGAGCCCAACGTGGGGCTCAAACTCATGGGCTGCAAGATCATGACCTGAGCTGAAGTCAGACACTTAACTGACTGAGACACCCAGGCGCCCCTGAGCATCCGAGTCTTGATATCAGCTCAGGTCATGATCTCTCAGTTCACGGGATCCAGCCCCCTGTCAAGCTCTGTTCTGACCGTGTGGAGTCTGCTTTGGATTCTTTTCTCCCTCTCTCTCTCCTTCCCCTACTCAGGCATGCTCTTTCTCTCTCTCTCTCTCTCTCTCTCTCTCTCAAAATTAAAAAAAAAAAAGCGTTTTTTTTCCTGATTTGAATATATTTTATTTATTTTTTTAATTTTTTTAATGGCAAACATTTTTAAAAAATAAAAATTCAATAGACATGTCCACCAAGATGAAGTTGGCCTACTTTTCTATTCTTCCCACCAAGTACAATGTAAAACCTGAGACGTCATATATAAAACAAACCTAAGATGCTGAAGGTGGAGAGAAGAAGGCAGACAGGCTAGGGAACCCAGGACCCAAGGAACAACTCAGAGGTGAGTTTCCTGGGTTTTAATTTTCGTTTCATATATCCCAAACTTGGAGCTGAAGAAGTCAGGAACCTAAACACGCCAGTGGGTATAGGCAACTTATACCTGGAAATCACCAACACATGGGTAATACTTTAAGGCATGAGACAAAATGTGGTCCCGTGGAGAGTTAGTATAGATTGAACAGAGGAGAGGCAAAGCGGACTGTTGCCTCTGGAAGAAGAAGACATAATAAAGGAGTCTGACAAGGAGCTGTCAGATAGGCGGGAGAGAAACCATTTACGTGCCAGGCATCGGACTCCTATTATACACAAATTATCTCACTTAATCCTTACAACAGCTCTGTGGTTTAGGCACTATTGTTGTTTACCCTTTACGGATGAAGAAACTGAAGCTTAGGAACTAAATTTCCTGCTCAAGGTCCCACAAAAGAGAGAGGTAGCATTAGGCCTAAAATCCGAGACGAAAGCAAATCCCATGCTTTCCATCAGTACGTAGCAGAATGCAGTGGGGTTTCAAAAGCCTCAGGTGACGACAGTCAGTGTATGGGATAGTCTGGAGAAAGAGTCGGGATGCCAGAAATCGTTACGGTGAGAGAGCTAAGGAATAACTTAGGTGTAAGAGGACCGGGGCTAACCAGGAGGGTAAAAATGGAGGCACAGAGCCTTACCAAGGAAACACTGGGCAGAACTTTAAAACTGATGACACATGGGAAATAAGGTTCTTCAGAGAGGAATCCAAGGCCTCATCTTATGCTTGGTGATTGTGACATTGAGGTAGAAACTTGGTAGGTTGGAGAAGTCAGCTTGAGAGACTAACAGTGTTTCTCCTTTACTCCCTCCACTACCACATTGGCCACACCCTTGACACGACCTTCGTAAGGGTGCTTTCCACACACCAAGCAATTCTGGGACACCAGCTGGGAGCCCCACAATGCAATTCAGTCCTGGCACTACCCAAAGTTCGTGTCACATCCCACAGGGTAAGGGCGCAGTCCCACAGAACTGTCCCCACCCCAGCTCCAGATGCCAATTGAAAGCCCCAGCTTGTCACCCGTACTTCTGACCAATTGACTATCAGTTGAGGTGCCCACGCCGCCCTCACTGAGTTTAATAATTTGCTAAAATGGCTCACAGAACTCAGAGAAACTTAGTTACATTTGCTGGGTTATTATAAAAATATATTACTTATTATAGGAATACAGATGGACTTCCAGACAGGGGAGATACATGAGGGCAAGGAGGTGTGGCGGAAAGGACGTGAAGGTTCCATGCCCTCACCTTGTGTGCTGTCTTCCCAGCACTCCATGTGTTCAGCGGCACGAAAGCTCTCCAAACCCCATACTTGGGAGTTTTTTCTGGAAACTTCACTACATAGGAACGATAGGTCATTAATTCACTCTCCAGCCCCTGCCCCACTCTTGGAGGTTGGTGGTGGGGCTGAAAATTCCAAGTCTCTAATCAAGTCTTGGTCTTTCTGGTGACCATCCCCCATCCTGAAGCTATCCAGAAGCCCACCCAGAGTAATTAGGACCAAAAACCAACCCTATCACCCAGGAAATTCCAGGACTCAGGAGCCCTCTGTCAGGAACTGGGATCAAAGACCAAATATGACAACAAACATGTTCCCAGTGCTCTCCACACTTAGGAAACCACACGGATTTAGGAACTCTGTGTCAGGAACTGAGGGAAGAGACACATATATGTATATATTTTCTGCCATTTCACAGGAGAATCTATGAGTTTGGTTGTAGATAAGTTGAGCATTAGATGAAAGCAGAACATTCAGTGAAAAAGAGTAGCCAGAGGCGTAATGTAGCCAGAGGCATAATTAACTTGTTGTTAATATTCAAACGCACAACTCTGACAAATGAGGAGAGTGGTTACAGATGGGTTTTTATTAAATAAAAATGAGATAGTAAATCCTAACTTAAGGAACAAAGTGATTTGCATCGATGCATTTTTTCCAGATAACTGAAGTTTACATTGTCAAGTAACTTTTTTGTTATAAACATTTTTTACAGAAATAAGTCTAGAATATTTCATTGGCACCCTTCCTCTTAAATAGACGATAGTAACTATCATTTCACCGCCTCTTGATTAATCATGTTTGTCATTATAGCTATGAATTACAGTAGTCTCTTCGGTTCTTCTATAATCTCCTAACCTCCAGGAGGAACAGTAGTTACTTCTTGTGTCGTAGAGCCTGTCTCTTATCAACCAGTCCCTTCTAATCTGTTGTTGCATTTTTGCTGTGGTCTGAGAAATACAATTACCATCAGTTCCATATGAATTAAGAGTTGGTGGCTCTGATGGTTGACCTCCCACCCCGGGCTTTGGGACAAAGACATGGTGGCCGCCATTTTGATGGGTTAGCTCCTCTCTGTGTCCAGTTTCTACTGGCCTGGTAATCGGTTGTTGGAAGTTTCTGGTAAGCTGGCGATCTTCCATAACACTTTTTGCTGGCATAACTTTGGGAACTTGCTTTTAGCACTGTCACATGACAAAACTAAAACTAAAAACGGGTTGGATGTCCTTTGTTCAAAGGCAAGTGGTCCAGGGATGGGGGAGCAGTTGGAGACTCTTCCTGAGGCATTTTGGCCAGAGCGAGTTTTATAGAGCGTTAGAAAAGGCAACGTGGAAACAGGCATGATTGGCTAGGAGGTCTGAGACTTCCCAATAAGGCTAATGGTCCTCTTTTCTAGGGTCAGGTAAGCTAGCCAAAGCTGAATTAGAGGATCTCGATTGGTGTATGCGAGGTTTCCTTGACAGGTGTTTCCCGAAGGCGCAGGCTGACTTGGGTTTAGATTTGTGACGTGGGCCAGGCCACTGGGAAGGGGGCGGGGGGCACTCATTTTGTGGGTCCCGCCACACAAACCAACTTCATCAGTACACATTGTCGGGCATCCCTGTTGTCGAGAGAGAAATGAGGATCAGAGTGGCCCCTCTAAATTGGAATAGCTCTTCATGTATCCAGTCTCCAAAGAAAATCATCAAGCTTCATTCATCTCTTTGTGTCATGCTGATTCATTTAAACTATTTTTACAATGAAGTGTTTTTTAAATGCCTTAACCAAATGTCTCTAAGTCCTGTAGCCTTCTAGGGTCACCCTTTTATTTACTGTCGAAATAGGACAAGCCCATCCTACCTCTGCAAACTACCCCTCTTTGTGAGGAGGGCGGGGAGGCAGGGAGCCCCTGATGGACTGGGAGGGGCTTGGAGCTGGGGCTTTGGAGTCCCCACCCCTAGTGTCACCTCCCCTCCAATAGCTGTGTCCCTCTCCCCGCCACTTGGTCACCAGCGTGGCCCCTGACCCTCGAAGCGCCACCAAACACGAGTCTGTGTGACTATCACTCCCTCGCATGTTGGAATAACCGTCGAGGCCTGAGGCAGCCGCCCTGCCGCCGCCCACATCCCCACCCCCTCATGACATCGGCCAGCCGAAGGGGACGAGGCTCACGTCCCTGGAAATGCTCCACAGCATGTCCAGTCACCCGAGCCCCATCCCCAGGCCAACCCTGGGCTCTGTGCCAGTTTTCTCGCTCCTCATTCTTTATCCTATAAAGGCATCCTGCCTCCCACCCCATTTTGCAGGGCTCCGAACGAAGACTGCCCGCTTCATGAAGTGTTAGATAACGTTTGTCTCATCGAAATGGTCTTTTCAACCGTTTTTTAAAACACTTAATGATTTGGGGCTCCTGGGTGGCTCATTGGGTTAAGCAGCCTGACTCTTGGTTTCAGCTCAGGTCATGATCTCACAGTTCGTGGGATTGAGCCCCGCATCTGGCTCTGCCCTGAAAGCACAGAGCCTGCGTAGGATTCTCTCTCCCTGTCTCTCTGCCCCTCCACCACTAGTGCTCTCTCACTCTCTCTGTCAAAATAGATAAGCCTTAAAAAAATAAAAAAATAAAAAAAAACACTTAACGATTTGAGGGAAAGGGCCAGAGTACACAGAACAGCACAGAATAAGAAACAAATTAAAACTGAGTCCTTCAACCTTAGCTTGTACTACAAAGCTGTGATCATCAAGACAGTAACAGACACATAGACACGTAGACCAAAGGAATAGAACAGAGAACCTGGAATCGGACCCACAAATCTATGGCCAACTAAAAGCTATGGCCAACAAAGCAGGAAAGAGCATCCAATGGAAAAAAGACAGTCTCTTTAGCAAATGGTGCTGGGAGAACTGGACAGCAACATGCAGAAAAATGAAACTGGGCCACTTTCTTACACCAGACACAAAAATAAACTCAAACTGGGTGAAAGACCTAAGCGTGAGACAGGAAACCTTCAAAACCCTCGAGGAGAAAGCAGGCAACAACCTCTTTGACCTCAGCCGCAGCAATTTCTTGCTCGACGTGTCTCAAAGGCAAGGGAATTAAAAGCAAAAATGAACTGTTGGGACCTCACCAAGATAAAAAGTTGCTGCACAGCGAAGGAAACAATCGACAAAACTAAAAGGCAACCGACAGAGTAGGAAAAGATATTTGCAAGTGACATATCAGATAAAGGGTTAGTATCCAAAATCTATAAAGAACTTCTCAAACTCAACACCTGAGAAACAAATAATCCAGGGAAGAAATGGGCAGAAGACATGAACAGATACTTTCCCCAAGATGACATCCAGATGGCCAACAGATACATGAAAAGATGCTCAACCTCACTTCTCATCAGGGAAATACAAATCAAAACCACACTCAGATATCACCTCACGCCAGTGGCCAAAATGAACAAGTCAGGAGACTACAGATGCTGGCGAGGATATGGAGAAACAGGAACCCTCTTGCACTGTTGGTGGGAACGCAAACTGGTGCAGCCGCTCTGGAAAACAGTGTGGAGGTTCCTCAAAAAATGAAAAATAGAACTACCCTACGACCCCGCAATAGCACTGCTAGGAATTCACCCAAGGGGTCCAGGAGTGCTGATGCATAGGGGCACATGCACCCCCATGTTTATAGAAGCGCTTTCAACAATAGCCAAATTATGGAAAGAGCCTAAATGCCCATCAACATGAATGGATAAAGAAGATGTGGTTTATACATACAATGGAATACTACTTGGTGGCGAGAAAGAATGAAATCCTGCTATTTGCAACAATGTGGATGGAACTGGACGGTATTCTGCTAAGTGAAATAAGTCAGAGAAGGACAGATATCATATGTTTTCACTCATACGGGGAATTTGAGAAACTTAACAGAAGACCACGGGGGAAGGGAAGGGGGAAAAAATAGTGTCAAACAGAGAGGGAGGGAAGCAAACCATAAGAGACTCTTAATACAGAGAACAAACTGAGGGTTGATGGGGGGTGCGGGGAGGGGAAATGGGTGATGGGCACTGAGGAGGGCACTTGTTGGGATGAGCACTGGGCGTCGTAGGTAAGCGACGAATCACGGGAATCTACTCCCGAAACCAAGAGCACCCTGTATACACTCTATGTCAGCCAACTTGACAATAAATTATATTTTAAAAAATAATAACTAATAAAATAAAATAAAATAAATAAAATAAAATAAATAAAATAAAATAAATAAAATAAAATAAAATAAAATAAAATAAAATAAAATAAAATAACATTGAGTCCTTCAAATCACTGCCCTCGGAATCCCTCGGCCATCCGTGGAGACTTTCTCCCTGGTGACGTTCTCCTTAGGCTCTAGTGTCTTCTTGGGAGCTCTGACTTCTTGGAAAGTGGCCTTCTTGGGAGCTCTGACTCAGTCTCTCCCTGCTCCTCTCGCAAAGTCCCAGAGCCCACAAGCCAGAGGCTGCTCATACAGGTTCACATAAGTCAACCGGTAAAATTTCGGGAATTTTGCAAACCCGTTGCTCAACACAACCGCTGTGAGCGACCGAAAGGTACCAGCTGGCATTTAAATACATTCGTTTTTGAAAAGGTCGTAAGTAGTCAAAGGGCATCGCTTCCTAATTATTTGGCTACACGTTGCCACTCTATGGCCCGGCGCTGACTTACGTCTATGGTACCCGTAGGGTGGAAATAGCGTAGGAAGGTGTGCGTGTCTACGCAAAGGCTACCAGAGGCCAGGGCTGGGTGGGGGGTGTTTGTTGTTGTTGTTATTGGACAGGTGGTTGTTAAACTTCCTGGCACCCCCCCTCCCCTCCTCCCCCCTCCCTGCTCCCTGGAACACACCTGTGATTCCAACTGCAGCCCAATTTAAGCTCCTCTTGACCCAAGTTCCCTTTTCAGAGCAGCCACCAGGGCCCAGAGCTGAACACAGGCGCCTCCCGAGGAGCTGGAGGACCTTCCACCTCTCAGATGGATTTTTCCATCTGTAACGTTTGCACCTGCTGCTGCGGGTTGTCTACACGGTGCGTTTATGAATCTTTGATGAATCCTGTCTCCTCACAGCAAACACAGAACACAAGCATTTGGTTTCAAGATGGCTTGCGAAAAACGCGTGAGAGAAGACCGCCGGGAAGCTGTCAGGACTTTGGAAAAACTGAATCTCCCTCACAGGAGGGAGTTGGGAGGGGACTGTGTTGTTGTTGTTGCTGGGGGGGGGTGGAAATCCTAAAAGCAAAGCGAATGGAAACACAGCTCTCTGTGAGGGGGAGAGTAAGAGGGAGGGGAGCGCCCCAGTCTATGGTTTATGAGTCATTTCCTGTTTGAATTCTTCCTGTTTGTCCTTGGTTTTTCCGCAAGTAAGCAAGTAACCGTTGAGGCTTGACCTTGCACCATCACCTCGCCTCCCAGGGCACGATCAACACAGTCCTGGTGATCGGCAAAGAGCAGGGGACTCTGAGGCACTTTGATGTTCAGAGCTACTTGCGGGGGGGGGGGGGGAGTGCAGAAATGACTTCTCAGTTTGCAAACTTTCCGGTGGCTGTGAGCCTCTATTTGATCGAACGTGGAGATATGGGCTCCAGATCAGCCCCAGCCTGGACACCTTCTGCCTCTCTCTCTCTCTGTCTCTCTGTCTCCATCTCCCTCTCTCTCCTTTCTTCCTTCCTTCTCTCTGTCTTCCCCTCTTCCTTTCCCTGCCTCTCCCTCTCTCTTCCTGACCTGTGCCTCTCCCCCCACTGCCTCTTTTCTTCCTTTTTGCTTGGCCGTTGCTCTCAGTACTTCAGATGCACCTCGATGGGGGGGGGGGGGGGCTCTATCACAGGGAGAGAAAAAAGGAGTCTGAACATGCGATTTTGAGGCTCCTAACTGAACTACCGCTCGTCCTGGGAGGCGTGGGAAAGACACAGATAAGACAAAGGAGACAAACACTGTTCCTTTGAAAGAGGAAATGTAAAAACGAAACTTACAGCCCTGTTTACCTTTTTCCAAAATAACATCAGAGTACTGGCATCTGAGAAGAATAATAGTTCTGCCGCTGTGTGGCTGCTTTCTTTTGAAGTGTTCTTTGCAGTAGCTGGAAAGAGCTTGGGCTTTGTTGTGGGACCACACGGGGGGGGGGGGGGGCGGCCCCCCCGCAGGCTGTGTGACCCGTGTGGCGGTGTGACCCTCCTGGGCTGCCAAGCCGGTGTCCTCAAGGCCCCCGCATTCAGGCTGTCAGTGGCCAGCGTGGTCCTGATTGGTGGCTGACTGTGTGGCGTCCCTTGCTGAATGAGTCTAGTCGATCCCGATTCGGCAGTGCGCATAAAGGACCGACTGGAGCCGAGTGTGGACGTTCAATAAATTTTAGCTCCGTCGATTCTTTTCCTACCCAGACACCCCCAAACATTTTCACCAACACAGTTCTGTTAGGAAGCAGTAAAAAATATACGTAATATATTACCATGATGTTCCGCAGCTTCTGTAACGGAAAGCAGAGACCCAGAGGTGAGTGGGCTAAGAGCCCCAATGGTGACTCAGACACACCGACACCTGACCACGGCTCCTCACACCCAACTCAGACCATTGATGGCAAGACTCGAGGCCTCCCTGGTAGTCAGTTAACAGTTTTAAAGTGGAAAGAGCACAGACTTGGGAGTCGGAAAAATCTGCGTTCAGACTCTATCCCTGTCACTTCCTATCTGTATGGCCGTGAACAAGTCACATAGCCTCACTAAACCTGTTTCCCCACCTGGGCAATGGGACCAATGTGCCTCAATGTTTCAGTGGGATCACGTATGTGTGAAAAGAACTTAAAATGGGGATTCTTTCTTTTTCAATGTGGGCTAAGTCTCAAGAAGCGTAAATAAAACAATAGTTGCTAAACTCGGCACACGTTACAGAGCTGGCCCACTTTTTCGGGAACCTACAAAGACGACGCACAGAGGCTGGCTTTGTGGCCCTTAGCACCTCCCTCCTATCGGGAGCCGACACCGAAGAGGAAGAAAAGAAAAAACTTCTGCAAAGAACCCACGTTCTTCACAGCATGGGGCAGACGACGTGCCCTCACCTCAAGCCGGTTGGATGGCCGCCACGGAACCATACGTGGCAGATCCCTTAGAGTGACACGTGTCCTCGAGAGTTTGGAGTGTGTAAGGACTGTGAAGAGAGGTTGAGGTTAGGTGAGCTTAAGGCCACAGAGCACAGGACTGACCACCCGCAGACAGTGGCACAAATGTAGGAGCGTTTCCTCAGACAAGACATCAGCTCCCGGAGGTGGTGTTGACCTGGAGCCAGCTTGAAAGCTCATCACATTGGGGCACCTGGGTGGCTCTGTTAAGCACCCGACTTCACGGCTCGTGGGTTCGAGCCCCGCATCGGGCTCTGGGCTGACAGCTCAGAGCCTGGAGCCTGCTTCAGATTCTGTCTCCCTCTCTCTTTCTGCCCCTCCCCTGCTCATGCTCCGTGTGTGTGTGTGTGTGTGTGTGTGTGTGTGTGTGTCTGTCTGTCAAAAATAAATAAACATTAAGAAAATAAGAAAGAAAGCTCATCCCTCCGTAGAGGTCCCCCATGACCAACTTTGGGAGGCTCAGCCCTGAGAGTTGAAGTTCAAACCAGCCAATCAGATAAGAGGCATCACCCACAGCATCCCAGGAATTACAGGTAAAAGATTCCCAGCAGGGGAATCTTGGAAAGCTTTACAGAATAGTCAGTAATGTCAATCTGCCCCAATCCGGGTCACAGGGATAGAAAGATGGGCTCCAACCTCCATCCTACACCCTTTGTCAATACAATGCCCTCTTTCGCTGCATTGTCCTTATGGTCACCTTTGGCTCTAAACTCTTGCTTCTGCTAAATTAGTGCACTTTATGAATCATTGGAGCAGCAGTGTGTATTTCCCTATTCCCTACCACCTTAAACCCAGAAAAGATCCGGATCATTTCCAGAATGTCTGCCTACAGAGCCCCACTTACACAAAGCTGTTGCATGGATAGAACATTTTCACTGTAAGGAAGGTTTTTAGGGGGTGAGGGGCCTGGCTGACTCATTTGGTGGAGCGTGCAACTCTTGATCTCGGGGTTGTAAGTTTGAGCCCCACGTTGGGTGTAGAGATTACTTTAAAAAAATAAATCTTTGGGGCACCTGGTTGGCTCAGTCGGTTGAGCACCAGACTTCAGTTCAGGTCATGATCTCATGGCTAATGAGTTTAAGCCCCGCGTCGGGCTCTGTGCTGACAGCTCAGAGCCTAGAACTTGCTTCAGATCCTCTGTCGTCCTCTCTCTTTGCCCCTTCCCCACTCGTGCTCTGTCTCTCTCTCTCTCTCTCAAAAATAAAGACACATTAAATAAATAAGCAAATAGATAGATAGATAGATAGATAAAGTCTTTTAAAAAAGAAAGGATTTTGGAAGAAAGGTTGGTTTACACTGAAGCAACAGACTCAGCTATTATTTTTATCTTCCCAGAAAGCATTTCCATCCCCATCCTTCTGGTAATAGACCCTTCCCCTACCCCAGGCAAAAATGTAGTCACATGACCTGCGTTGGATGATCGGCGCCCTGTTCCACTGGTACTGATGATTGGCACAAGGAATGGACATAGAATCCAAACAAGGCTAATTAGAACATGTCTCTGGAATTGTTACATGCATGCTGGGACCCCCTTCCCCACAAAAAGCTCTCTCTTTATGGTTGCTGAGTTGGGTCTGGCATCAACCAGGCTTCTTGCCTCATGGTCAAGTCCTGTCTGCGGTAGGAAAGAAGGAATTCAAAGAGGAAGAGAGTCAAAGAGAGGAGCAAGGCCAGAAAAGAAGGAAGGGGAGAAGGAGAAAAAGAGAGAGAGAGAAAGAGAGAGAAAGATCAGGTGCTGTTAACCCAAGACTCCGCTTAATTCTCTGCAGCACTGGTTTCCGCCATTGTTCCTTAGTTGCTACAAACCCACCTAGTATCTTTCCAAACTCTGTAACCCACTAAGATCCCTTTTTAAAAACGATTTTTTTTTTAACGTTTATTTATTTTTGAGGCGGAGAGAACAGAGCATGAACGGGGGAGGGTCAGAGAGAGGGAGACACAGAATCTGAAACCGGCTCCAGGCTCTGAGCTGTCAGCACAGAGCCCGACGCGGGGCTCGAACTCACAGACTGAGAGATCATGACCTGAGCCGAAGTCGGACGCTTAACCGACTGAGCCACCCAGGCGCCCCTAAGATCCCTTTTTAAATTTAAGCTTCTTTGAATTGGATTTGTGTCACCTTCAAACATAAGAAGCCTAATGAATACAGCAAAAACCTTCCAATTAACGCTGGGTATCTCAGGCCTTAAAAAGCCCTTTTCCTACTCCACCCCCAGAATGTTCACGCCATGCAGGTCTCAGTTTTGTACATTTCTTATCGCTCCACTCCCTTTCCTTGCTCTTCCCCTTCTGCCTTCTCATTTCTGTTGCCTCCTAGAACCAAAAGTAAACTCCTTCCTTTTTGTAGGCCAAACAGTTCGACCACTTTTTTCATTTCATTTCATTCGGTCCTGAAATCCATAACCTCAGATCATATCCTTTACCCTAAGTGGTTTATCAAGGCATTTTCCTAAATACAGTTCAACACACACACACACACACACACACACGCACACACGCATAGAGACTTGGGCCATTTGTTGGCTATTAGGAAAAAATCCAAATCAGATATTCCGTAACAACTTTTTGGACGATTGGCCAGGTAAATTACTTAAGTCTTCTCATCTACAAAATTACACATCAGAGCTAAAGAGGCCATACAGTTGAGCTATCCTAACCCCTTTAATAAACTTAGAGAAGTTAAGTAACTCATCCAGTACCAAAAAGGACTTAGTAGTGTTATCAGGGCTCCTGATTCATTGTCCAGGGCCCCAGGTCACCAGGCAAAAGAACAAGACCTTATGACTTTGACAAGGGTCATAACATAGGCTGGTTTAGGTTTGCACATTCAGTGGTCAGAAGGCACCTCCCAGCTACGGTCCCTCAACTATAAACGACATAAGACAGACCACCAGTTCTCAAACACTTTTCAATCTGGAACTTCTTCTTTTTTCTTTTTTTTTTTTTTTAATTTTTTTTTTCAACGTTTATTTATTTTTGGGACAGAGAGAGACAGAGCATGAACGGGGGAGGGGCAGAGAGAGAGGGAGACACAGAATCGGAAACAGGCTCCAGGCTCTGAGCCATCAGCCCAGAGTGTGACGCAGGGCTCGAACTCACGGACCGCGAGATCGTGACCTAGCTGAAGTCGGACGCTTAACCGACTGCGCCACCCAGGCGCCCCTGGAACTTCTTCTTTAAATGAAATCGTATACTGATTGCAAATAAAAGCAAAATATAATCATAATCATAATCATAATCAATACATTAGTTCAAATGCTTCGAGAATCAAGGTGCCAAAGATATATACTCTCCAGGCCATGATGCAGATCTGACCCTTGGGAAAAAGAGAAGAAAGAAAGAAGGACTGAGTAGAGTCTCAGACTGCTATACAGTTCTATGAAAGTTCCATCCGGGCTGATGAGTCCTCAGGCCAAAGTCACCCATCAGAGGTATCTGCACCTCCATTAGCATTCATATCACATTCAGTCCATGGCTAGGGGCAGCCCATCAGCCCATGAAAAGGGGGGCTTTAGGACAAACACAATGTTGTGTTCAGAGCACGCTGCTGGAGTCATCTATCAATTAGGCTTTCTACAACAAAAGATCTGAGTGTGTGCTTCCATGGCTCCCTCCAAAGGAAAAAAAAAATTTAAACAGAGTTGCATTTGGTTCTTTTCTCTATCTTCCACTTCTCTCCTTATTGTATTTGCATGGAAATAAATGGGAGATACAGGAAAGAACCAGATGGGAAGCTATAAAGTTGAAAAATACAATATCTGATTGGACAATTCACTAGCTGGGCCTGACAGTTGTAAAAGAAACGATCAGCAAACTTGGTGGCCTAGTAGGAGAAACCATGCAAACCAAAAAGGAGAGAGAAAATACTCTTTTAAAAAAAGAGAGGGGCGGGGTGGGGGGGGGGAGAAGGAAGCCCCTCAGTGAAGTATGGCTGTTAAGCAGCACAGCACGAATGTAATCAGAGACCAGAGAAGGGGATGGCTGAGAAATATTCCAAGGAAAATGATCTAAAATACTTCACATTTGCTACAACGATCAACTCACAGAATCCAAGAAGCTCAATGAACCACAAGCAAGAGAAACATAAAAACCACCCAAGTAATTTCATAACCAAATTGTTGGAAGCCAGTGATAAAAAGAAAATACAAAATGTACACAAAGAAAAAGGAACATTACAAACAAGAAAAAAAAGATAAGAATTATCGCAGTCTTCCAGTAAAAAAAAATTTTTTTTGAAGTGCAAGCCAACAAACAACATCTTTAAAGTGTCTCAAAACAAAACAAAACAAAAACACTAAATCTAGACCTCTATCCTGAGAAAAATACAGTTCAGAAAAGAAAGCAAAATATAGACTTTTTAGGAAGAATAAAAAGGTTAGAAGAATTCATGGCTGGAAGAACTAAACAACAAGAAATGTCTTTTTTTTACTTTAAATGTTTATTTATTTTTGAGAGAGAGACAGAGACAGAGCATGAGCAGGGGAGGGGCAGAGAGAGAGAGGGAGACACAGAATCGAAAGCAGGCTCCAGGCTCTGAGCTGTCAGCACAGAGCCCGACACAGGGCCCAAACCCATGAACCACGAGATCATGACCTGAGCCGAAGTCAGATGCTTAACTGAGTGAGCCACCCAGGTACCCCAACAACAAGAAATATTAAAAGAAGTTCTTGGGGCACCTGGATGGCTCAGTCAGTTGAGTGTCCAACTCTTCATTTCAGATCAAGTCATGATCCTAGGGTCACACGAGGGTTGAGCCCCGTTTTGGGCTCTGTGCATGGAGCCTGCTTGAGATTCTCTCTCCCTCTGCCCCTCTCCCCTGCTCCTGCTCCCTCTCGCTCTCTCTCTAAAATAAAATAAATAACAAATTTAAAAAGACATTCTTAAGGCTAAATACAAAGATTCCAGATGGAGACCTGGATGCACACAAAGGAATAAAGAAGAATGGCTCTCACCTCACCTAACAAAACTTGAAAGCATGCCTCAAAACATCAAGCAATTCCCAAGTAAATTAACTTCACACCCAACTCAAAATTATTTAAAAGAATTCAAAGAATTCCAATAACCTAAAATTCACTGTATCTGGAACCCAATAAAAAATTACCAGATACTGCAAAGAGGGTGGAAAATGTGACCCATAATGAAGACAAAAGCAAATTAAATATAAATAGAATTTTTAAATGATCCAGATGACAGAACTGGTAGAAAAAAACATTTAAACAGTGGTTGGGGGTAGGAGGATGCCTGGCTGGCTCAGTCAGTAGAACATCCAACTCTTGATTCCTGGGTAGTGAGTTCAAGCTCCATGTTGGATATAGAGCCTACTTAACCAGTGATTATAAACACATTCTGTATGTTCAAGAAGCCAGAAGAAAACACAAGTATATTAAGAAGCATGGAAAATATAAAACAGCCCAAACTGAACTTCTAGAGATAAAAAATATAATGTCTGGCATCAAAAAATACACTTGGTAGAATTAAGAACTGATTAAACACTGTAGTGTTTAAAAAAAAAAAAAAAGTTAAAAAAAAAAAGACATGAACTGGAAGACACAGCACTAAAAACCGTCCAAAATGACACATAAAGAAAAACTGGGGAAAAAATAACTAGGAATCACTTACTTTCAGGGCAAGTTCATATGGACCAATATGCATGGAACTGGAGTCCAGAAAAAGGGAGGAGAGGGGCAAAAGGTTTGAAACACTAATGGTCAAATTTTCCAAGTTTAATGAAATTATAAAAGACAGATCCAAGAAGCTCCATAAATCCCAGCCACAAGAAACTTGAGAAGATGACGCCGAGATCCATCATAACCAAGTTGCTTAAAACCAGTGATAAAGAGAAGAACTTAAAGGCAGTCAGAGAGGGTGCCCGGGTGCCTCAGTCAGTTAAGCAGCTGCCTCTCGATTTCGGCTCAGGCCGTGATCTCACGGTTTGTGGGTTCGAGCCCCAAGTAAGAGCCTGCTTGGGATTCTCTCTCTCTCCCCCTTTCCGTGCCCCTCCCTCACTTGTGCTCCCTCTCGCTCTCTCTTTCTCTCTCTCTCAAAATAAATAAAC